CACTACCTGACCCGCATGGTCTTTGTTTTACCCATAAACAATGGGTAATTTACATAAATAAATAAAGATAAGTTACACACAAATTACCACCTGTCAATCTCTTTTTCCGCGGGACTCTGCCATGAATAGGCACAGTGATCTGTGTTGTACTGTCGTTATAATGGCGTCGACAAACTTGGTTGGTAATAAAGGTGCAAATTCACCTATCTGGCAATACTTTGGCTTTAGACTGAATGAAAGAGGACAGCCACGATATACGTCTGAAATGCGCAGACGATGCGCAGGCGACAAATTTACATTACCATTTGCGTGTTCACCATCCCGCAGAATACAGCTCATTGCCAGTGTCATTACGCACAACTGTTCCTACTTATTCTTTTGTCCCCAACTCCAGTAGATTTTTTTGTTACTTTTCCTTCTTTTGAGTTATTCCACATAACCATTGAAAAACCCTTTCCCAAACCTTTCCTACTAAATCATGTGATTGTGCTCCCTATCCCTATTATTGTGGAACCCCAGCAATGGACCACAAAACAGACCCCATGAGACGCTTGCTGTTTGGGAGCTATTGGCATATTCCCAGCCCCCCTCCCCTCTGCTGCTTATGTACAAAAAATGAGAATTAATTGCAACCGATTTCTGAGGTGTTTGCACAGACGGCTGTTTTTGGCAGTGCCATTCAGGTCAGTGATCATTGCAAGGGCAAGATGGGCCATGCAGCCTCTGCCCCTATTAGCTACTGACTTATCAAAAACCTTGCAGGAACCAACCAACAGTATCTGAGGCTTTCGCTAAAATTACTAAGTACAAGCATGGAAGCAGTGTACTGACGCTGTGACCCGCTACCTAGCAAAAGAAATGGTTTTTTGGCAGGAGCAAAAAAAAGTTAAGCACCCAGGCGAAGTGGTGGAAATTAAATGAATCTTTTAATACGGTAGAGAAGAGCGCAATTAAGGCTATATTGTGTGATTAAGTGTGTTTTATGCGAGCTGGTTGCTGCTGCGGCGGGGGCGGGGGCGGGGCGGAGGATCGCGATGCCGGCTCAGCATAGAATAACGCAAAATGCCGATAACGATTTTGATTAATGAAGCACTGATGTGACGGATTTCTCCATTGGGGGAGCTGATCAGACATTGCACGGATGATGTATTTTTGCGTTGCAGTTTTTCTGCACAATCGACCATTTTCACTGATACCCGAAATGGTAGTCAGAGGCACAATATGCTGCCATCATTTTAACATATAGGCCTATGTTAATTTTTTTAAATGCAGTAACTTTTGCTCCAACATTTTCATGCTGAATCACTTTAAAATAATGTCTGTGGGACAACGAATGATGAGGAAAAAGTAACAGCTGTATATTACAAGAATTAAAATAATAATAAAAACTAATATCTTATGCTCTGTCTTTGTGTTTTTAGACTTATGTCATGACCTGCTCCTACGATCCTCGTGTGTGCCACGCTCCCCTTGTTACCTCGTGTTAATTCCCGATTGTGATCACCTGTTGCCTGTTTTTTTCGCCTTGTCCTGTGAATTTAGTCTGCGTCTGACTCCGTTTTCCTCAGGTCTGTCATTAACGTTCGTCCTGTGTGCTTTAATAAAACCCCATTTACCCGTATTCATGGCTTCATTAGTCGGATTCTCCGCTCCCTGCTCGTTCGTTCGGCAAGGTCTCAACAACTTGTATGTAAAAAGCCATTTATACATAGATAATAAGACTTCAATATAGACATCATTAAATACCAGCAGTGCTGGGATAGCTGAATAAATATGTTGAATGTAGTCACTGGATGGAAGTTACAAGTATGTGCAATTGTTTGTCTAATGGACAAAGTACTTGAGGCAGGTATGTGACAGCAGATAGTTTGTATGCAAAAAAAATGCAGTATATCCATGTTTTTAATGTTCAGTGTGCATGTATGAATGGATAATGAATGGATAATTAAAAAAGAGGGAAATACTCAACTAAGGGACGTTTGTGGACAGGAGTTGGTGGTGCTTTAATTTTGAAAGAGTCGCTTTGTCGATGTCAGCACACGTTGCAAAATGCCGCCTGTTTTTGACGTCTGAAGGTGTGAAAAATCGACATGTTGATTTTTTGCATGTGAAAAATTGACGTAGATTTTTTTGCATGTGAAAAATTGACGTAGATTTTTTTGCATGTGAAAAATTGACATTGATTTTTTGCATGTGAAAAATCAACATGTTGATTTTTTTGCATCTAAAGGCTTGCAAATTTGACGTCTCTGGCCGTTAATATTTGACGTCTTTAGGCATAAAGTTTTAAGATGTTTTGGCCCCGTTGGCCTTCCTAAAGCCGACTGAACAAACTGGAACAGCCTCCGTGATGACACAACTTTGCCCTTATTGGCTGAAGAACGTGACATTTGTATGACATTTATATCCCAGGAAGTTCCGATGCGTTATCTGCTATTTCTCCCGAATATCACGTAAAGCAGTGAGAACTGGTTTTCAGTTAATTTACCTGGTAAAATAAAGTTTAAATAAATTACATAAATGCTGTAATAGTACACGTAAGTTAATGGTTTATTTATTGTTAGTTGCTGTAATGTTGCCCTGCTTTATTTGTTTAATCATCCAGTCTGTGAAGAGATTATTTTAGGGTGGCACATGCCCCTGAGGCTATCCCATTGGTGCGCGATCCCCAGTTTGGGAACCACTGCACTACGCTAACAGAAAGACTATTCCATACTCTAACTACACACTGTGTAAAGAAGTGCTTTCTCAAATCCATTTTAAAATGTTCTCCCGCTAATTTCCACCTATGGCCATGAGTTCTAGTATTTAAACTAATACTGAAGTAGCCATTTGGCTAAACATCATCCAGACCTGTTAGAATCTTACATACCTGGATCATGTCCCCCCTTAATCTCCTTTGCTCGAGGCTAAACAGATTCAGCTCAGCTAACCTCTCCTCAGTAGACATTCCTCTAAGACCAGGAATCATTCTTGTAGCCCTACATTGAACCCTTTCCAAGGCAGCAATGTCATTTTTGAGATATTCAGCTCAGCTAACCTCTCCTCATAAGACATCTATGTTGCTAGCAAAAAATATAATACAATACCACCACAATGCATCTACTTGTGCAAATGACAAATAAAACATTATTTCAATTTAATATCAAATGGTAGTATGCTGAGAATATTTCACAGGATTTTCTGTTCTGTGTATGACTTCAGCCTTTGGACTTTGAGAAGGGCATGCAAAGAAAACTGTCCATCAGCGTTATGAATGAGGCTCTGTACTTCACGTGTACCTCAGAAGAACGTGACAGGATTGAATCCCAGCCTAAGAATGTCACTATAATTGTGGAAGATGTCAATGACCCACCAGAGTTTCTGGGGGCTTTGAAGGAAGTGTTTGTGGAGGAAAACATAGCGACTGGATACCTGCTTGAAAGATTTACCGCAGTGGACCGGGATGTAATGTTTTCAAATAAATTTGTGTAAGTAAAATAAACGCCACGTTACAGTAATTTCAAACATTGCTTGAAATGTCTAATTTATTATATTTCATATACAAATAACAAGAAAATAAAATATGTGAAATGTTTTTGTACCATTGGAGCTATGCTAACATTTGTCTAAGCCATCATTCACACACTTTAATGAATTTTATATGTGTAATCTAGCGCACAGTCACCATTTGTAACTATAGTAGAGGGGATGAGGAAGAGTTTACCTCCCCATGCTTTTTATTAATGTGTTTCCAATATATGATCAGTAATAAAGTGAGTCTATAACCAGTGTTGCAGCTGGTAACTATTTGTATGTTGCTAATATTAATAATGAATTCTGCAGCCTATACTAAATAAGAAGTTGGAAGTTGGTTGATTGGATGGTTAGTTTTTACAACACCTCTGTCATGTAGGTAAAACCTGCTCAAACATGCTTATGCAGAAAAGCAGAAATACATGCATCAACTGCTCACAGGACTTCATGTGTTTCCCAACATCACTCATTCCAGCCTTAATTTCACCCGGACAGTGTCCATCAACACACACAAATGCAGTTTACATTGTTTACTAAGTAAATCTTTAGCAGTGATTATGTTAAATGTTGGATCCTACAAAGTTTTACAGTAATAGATTTACTATATTACTTATTGCAGCCTACCTAGTTTTATACATAAGGTTTATGTATCATTATAAAGGAATATAAGCATGCCCAAAAGCTTGGAGAAGTATTGTGAGTTATGAATTACAGGATATGCAGATGTAAAATGACTTTGTCAGTGGAACACATCCTTTCATGAATTCGGTAGCAACAAAGAGTGTAGAGCAAAACAAGCATGGTCAAGCTATGTGTTCTGTGCAAATACAGGTATAAAATCGGTAAAGATCCTGCTTGTTGGGTGACAGTGGACCCCAAAACTTGTGAAATTCGCACAGCAAAAATAATGGACCGAGAGTCACGCTTTGTGGTCAATGGAACCTACACCGTAATTGTACACGCTGTTGATGAAGGTAAGATTGAAAATTGTAATGTACGTTTAATTTAAATGCATCTATTTAGTGAGTGACAATATTGGTTTTTGATAATACTGTAGTCAGTCCCATTTTTTCCGGTTGAAGTTGTTTAACAAATCTTGTCAAGAAAAAGTTTCCAGAGACGGGCCGTCAGGACACAAATACTCCCTAATTTGGTATTTCTCAAATTCTGATGCTGTTATGCCGGTTAACAGCACATTTCAACAAAGCAGAGTCTATTGTGTCACTTCTTTGAAATTACAGTGTAAAAAAACATTCAGAACAGGTCAGGTCAGGTTGGGGAGCATGCGCTGATGCAGCGCGTTGCTGCACCCACCACATGGCGAAACTGCCCGGGATCCCGGCTGAAAACCCCCTAGGCAGACACACAGTCCAGTCCCACACTCCGGAAATGACCATCCATCTGCTGCAGCCAGGTGTTACCTGGGTGTCCCCTCGGCCTGGTCCAGCCCCTCGTGTCCTCAGCAATGAGGATCCTGCAAGTCGGGTCACCCTCGGAAACGCGCCACATGGCCGTAGTGCCGCGACTGACGCTCTCTCACAATGCAGGTAATGTGCCTCATTCGGGACTCCTCTAGCAACCGCTTGTTCGGCACAAAAAAAGTCAAGCCAGCGGTACCCAAGGATTCTCTGAAGAGACACAATACCGAAGGAGTCCAGTCTTCGTCTCAGCTCACTGGATAGTGTCCATATCTCACAGCCATACAGCAAGACAGGGAGCACCTGAATGTCTCGACGAGGTTGACACCTTCCTCGGAGACAGACACACTACTGATGGCTGTGCCTAAGAAGTCATTAAAGGCCTGGATCTTGGTTTTTTTCCAGGACACCCGCAATCCCAGACACTCAGACTCCTCGCTCAGTCTCTCGAGAGCCCCGATCAGAACCTCCATTGACTAAGATCACAGCATTGTCAGCAAAGTCAAAATCAGTAAAACTTTCTTCACCAACAAATGCCACACAACCGCTGAATCCTACAACCCTGTCCAACACCCAGTCCATGCAAGCATTGAACATAGTAGGAGCAAGAACACATACCTGGTAAACCCCAGAATCAACTAGGAAGAACACGGAGGTTCTCCCTCCACTCTGCATAGCACTTACTGTACCAGAGCACAGGCCAGCCATGACGTCCAGAAGCTTCGGGGGGATCCCGCAAAGTCTCAGGCTGTCCCACAGGGCAACTCAATCAACTGAGTCAAACGCTTTACAAAAATCAACAAAAGCTGCAAAGAATCTCTGGTGATATTTACACTTGCGCTCAATGAGAACCCACAGTGAAGGATGCGGTCAATGGTAGACCTCATAGGTGTAAAACCATATTGCTCCAGTTGCTGGTAGGCAAGCAAGTGATCACGGATCCTATTAAGGATGACCCTAGCAAGGACCTTACCCGGCACTGAAAGCAGTGTTCTCCCCCTGTAGTTGCCACAATTCAGCTTCCCAGATAGTGACTACAAGTTTCCTTTTCCAGCCAGTTGGGATGATGCCTGACTCCCAAATGGAAGCAAATATTACCTGCAATGCCAGGAGGACAGCCTTACCACGAGCTTGGAGAAGTTTACCCTGGATACCACAGATCCATGCTGCCTTCCCTACCCCCAGCTGATTTACCCCCTGTGCAATCTCAGTGAGATTAGGTGGTTCACAGCTGATTGGAGGATCAGCTTCGAGAACTGTGGCCTCAGAGATGTCCAACGTCCTAGCTGGAGGGTCAGCTTTAAACAACTGCTTAAAGTAGCCGGCCCAGTTGGTCACAACTGCAGTGTCAACCGTAAGGACCATTCCATCATCTGCCCTGACTGCAAGTCTCCGAGGAACAGATTCAGATGTACGTAATGCTTCAGGTCCTCTGTAAGCAGGACGTGGGTCACTAGACCACAGATGATGTGTCACCTGCTCACAAATTCGTCTAAAACTCCTCCTTATCTGTACTCAGAGCCCTCACAGCCGTCCTCCTCAGTTCCTGGTACAGACTGGAGTTGCCACCAAGTTGTGCACCGCGACTCCTCTCAGTAATATCCAGGGTGCCCTGTGAGATTAAACACTTCATTATGGGAACACTGGCAACACCTACACAACCCTTGGCAACCTTCAGGGTCTTATCACCGAAGGTCTCCCACATCAAATTAAAGTTGCCAGTTGCACCCAAGTCTGAAAGTTCTTCAATCAAACTGCGTGCAAACTCATCAGAAACAGCTTGATCTTGGAGTCTAGCCAAGTTCAGCCTCATTCTCCTAGTAGGTGACAGCCTACTGGATTTAAGCTGAATCTTCGGAATAGCAACAGCAAGTCTGTGGTCCTGCAGTGCAGGAGCCTCCAGCATCTGCCCACAAGGATGTGATTGATCTCTTTCGCCACACCACCAGTATTGGGGTGCCAAGTCCAACAATGTGCTCAGGGCATTGGAACCAGGATCCAGCAACCTACAGCCACTGACCTTTCGCAAAGTTGAGGAACATGGAGTCACTCTTACACCGTTCTCCAGACCCATCTGATGTTTATCATTTAGGTTTTATCAAACAAGTAGCACATACAGCATTTTACACTGTTGTATCTTTATTGAAGATGTGGTTTAAGCAGTCAAAATAGCCGATGGAAAAAAGTATGTGAAGCTGTATATTTAATGACCAGTGGAAATTCCATGATTGATGATTGACCTCATACAAACACGTCTTGTAATTGCTTATCAGACAAAAACAGTGATTAGGAGATACTCTTTTGCACAATCCAGCTTCTTCTTTGAACTTGACACTGTCTGCACTTAATTATTACCTATCACACTTTAACAAAATTGCACTATGAATAGCAGGTAAGCAATGTCATGTGGCTTTTTGTATGACAGGACAAGTCAGTTCCACACCTGAATTGATTAAAACATCTGATTCTTTTTGTCCCCTTTCAAGAGTTCAGTATTTTAAAGGTTCTCATACTTTTTTCTGTCAATGACCTTGACCGTTTAACCTATTTGTTCAACAAAGATACTGTATTGTAAAATGTGATATCCATTGTTTTTTGATACTTTCTTTTATTATTATAACTTAAACTAAGATCAGATTACATTTTATGAGTAACTCGTGAAGAAATTAAGATTTTAAAACACTTTTTCCCACAATTGAATGTTTTCTAATAAAGTGACAGAAGATTAAGCCGGGAGGCATTAAGAATACTTGCCACCTCATAGAAATTGTTAAATATAGAGACTACAACATATTTTCACACTGGGAACAGTTTTTTCAGTAAAAAGTGACACAATAGATTTGTTTAGCTGAAATGTGCTATGAACAGTCATAATTGCAGTTGCATTTAAGAAGAAATACCAAAGACCAGATGTCCCCTTTTATTTTATTAGTATTTGGTCTCAACATGTTTTGTTAAACAAGTTCAACAAGGGACTGTTTGCAGCACTGGTCTCAAACTCAAGGCCATGCCACAAATAAATCCCATTTTGCCTCATTTTGTGGGGCCCATGTGAGCATCTAAAGAAATACTGATACAGTTCCTAATCCAGATGATTTTAAAATACAATAGTATTGATTGGAATATGTCCTACATTCTAATTTTAAAAGTAAAAAAAGCTATTCTTAGTTTCCACATTTGGGGACACTGCTGTCTGACTCACTGTTGAAAAATTGAAGGAGTTGCAAGAACAATTGACAACAAAAATGAATTGCTGATGAAATAGCAGCATGTTGCTAATTGTCATTGGAAGATCAGTGACGTAGCTGTGAAAGCTAGCTAGTCGGGTTAGCTTTCAAAAATACGCATCATCTAAGCTGCAGAACTTGTGTGACAGCTAATATAATTAAACTGATGTCACAGGGAGGCAAAGTTCTGTTTATTTGAATTGTATCAAGTTTGTTACCAAATTGTGCATTATACTGGTACTTTTATTATACTTACTGTATATACTTTTATTACTGCCATCAGCCTACAGTATGTAGGGGAAACGTCCACTTAAATTAATAAAGGATGTTTCTTATATTGATAGGCATTTTCAGAATGAATAGTCCCTTAGCAGCTAGGCTTGGTGTTGTCAACCAAAAAATTTCCCTTAAATCACCATGCTATATTCCAATGAGACAGTGATCTTGCAAAGTTATCAATTTCATGCTTTTTCATAACCAAAGGGGTCATCATCTCTTCACCACAGGGAATCCCCGGATGACTGGAACAGCCACACTCAAAATCCACCTCAAAGACCAGAACGACAATGTTCCCCAGCTGTCTGAAAATATGATGCAACTATGCCTGTCTGATGAAGCCAATGTGGTCAACATCACAGCCTACGACCTGGATGGAGACCCATATTCTGGCCCCTTCCACTTTGAACTCCTGGGAGACGTCAAGGGCCGGTGGAGGCTTGACCCCAGTTTTGGTAAAGTATATATTGATAGCCTGTCTACTGGTTTGTTTTATATGTTTCCCTACTTTGATATTAGTGACAGTGGAACTATTTGATATGCTCTAGTGTGGCATATGCGACACCTGGCTATTCAGTGATTTTATTTCTGTTGTTTCCTGCTGACCAATTAGGTGATGTTTTGCTCTTTTAGGACATCCTTGAATTTAATATCAGCATTTTGCTTATCTAATATATTTTAATTGATGCAATGGCATCTGTGGATAAGTTCCCTACTAGGAGAATAAGAAACCGGGGCTGAGATTTGTCAGTTTAGTCCTTGATGTTGTCCACTATCAACTGTGGTAAGATCCTTAAATGTGTTTGGGCTGCTTAAAACCCAGTTTCCCTGTGAGTGGTGCATAAGAATCTTGCCTTGCAGGGACATCTGTGAAGCTGGTGAAAGAGAGCCTGGTCTGTACCGGGAAGCACAGGCTATTCCTGCGGATCTCCGACCAGCAGGGGCTGCCCTCCCTACAGAATCTCTCAGTGACTGTGTGTCACTGCATCGCCCCAAATACATGCCATAGAGTAATGTCTGCTGCCACCAGGGCCGGACTTTTTGGGGTCATATTTGCTGCCATTTTTCTGCTACTAGGTACAGGATGTGTCTTTCAAATTTTGCTCCTTCCACGCCATTTATATCATTATCAGAAGCAGTTTAGAAAGAAATCAACTTTAATTATAAAATACTTCAGTATGAACTGTCAGGAAATTTAATTTTAATTTAAATGAGATTTCAGCTGAACTTCCATACCATGTCAGTCACATTTACAATACTATTAAATAGCAATAAATAATAAAATGTTGAGTTTGGCTTGTTTTAGCGTCATATTTGACAATTCATTCCAAATTGCTAATTTCCAGTTCAAATCTCTCCACTATAAAAACAATTATTTAACTTTTCATAGTGCATGATTTGTTGGAAACAGATGTATTAAAACTTGAAAGTAAGGGTAGCCCTTAACTTACATTAAGAACTGAAATTGAAATTAGAGAAATTAGAGAATAGTTTTCAGGTGGAATATGGCTCAGCAGGTAGCACTTTGGCTTCACACTTCCTACCCCGTGTGTTTGGAAACTCCATAATCTCCCTCTGTCACCCTGGGTCTCTGGGCTCCTTCTGCAGTCCCAAGATGTGCGTTTTGATTAACTGGAATCTCTAAGTTACCCATAGTGTGTGCCCTACCCAGAGTACTTTGGAGCCTGGAATAACTTCCAGGCAACCCAGAGCAGGCTAAGTGGTTGGAAAAATGGATGAATGTGTTTTACTTATCATCTACCTTCAAACTTGTATACACTAGGAAAACATTTTATTTTTAAAAAATGAAAGCTGATCATGGTCTTAATGAATGTATTTTAATGAGCATCATACACGTAGCATACGTTTGGCCAGACATGTGGGCAGTGGTGGCTTAATGGTTAGGGAAGCGCACTTGTAATCGAAAGACTGCAGGTTTGAATCCTGACCAGCAAAGTAATACTGAGGTACCCTGAGCAAGGTACTGCCCCCAAGCACTGAATTAGCTGCCCCCTGCTATGTCACATACAGTATGGGTTAAATGCAGAGAATGCATCTTGCTGTGGTGTGTCGACAATCAATCACTAAAAAAATTTTCTGCAACCACTTGTCCTATTCAGGGTCTTGGGAGGTCCAGAGCATATTGGCACAAAACAACCCAGGATGGGGCACCAACCCATCACAGGCCACATGCAATTTGGCAGCTTCAATTTACCTCAGCACATTTTTGGACTGTAGGGGGAAACTGGAGTACCTGGAGGAAACCCCACAATGACATGGGGAGAACATGCATATTCCACACACATAGAGCCATGAACCCTGGTCCCAGCCCTGCATTACATCTATATATTCTTAATGACTGATGCCACTAATCATATGCATATTTTATTAGTAGAATGCTGATTTTTAAATTGTCTTTCAGCATCTCTACTACTTATTTTGTTGATAACCCGTGGGAAACAAAAAGCAAAGGAAGTTCTTGATTCTGAATTCGACCTGCTTCCATCCAGAACTGAGGAACTAGGCGATGATTGTGAGGTAAGACTTTCAAATTTCATACTTGAACATCCTTACTTATTTCAGACTACAACTGGATATTTATTAGCTTGTTCAATCTTATTTTTTAAATGTAACACATTTTCTTGATTTATAACAGCTCTTATTGTACAAATATTTAAAATTGGTTTGGCTTTCCTTCCTAGGTTCCGAACTCCATTGCCAGAAAACCTATTAGGAGACAGGTTAAACCTCCTCGAAAAGTGAATTACAAGCCAAATAAATATTTGGTAATTAAGCAACTCCTATGTCCTTCATGCTAAACTAATACCAGTTTGTTTTCCCTTTTTTTGTACCTTGAGACTTGCCTGTTCATTGAGCTCAATGTCTTGGAGTAAGCTTTGTGGTAACACTTTCTGTGAATGCCATGTCTATGAGAATCTAGGAACACATTCATAAGATATTATAACATAGTACAATACATTCATAAAGCATAGCTATAAATGTTTTGAAAAAGGCATAACACATTACAGCCATGTTTATGATGCATTATGAATGCTTTATACAAAGCATCCTTAATTCTTACACCAACCATTATAATGCATTATGAAGGTATCTGTAGTGCATTATGGGTGACAGCTTCAAGTGAAGGGTTACCAGTTTGGTTTTTGTAAACAAGGTGATGATATGAGCATTAACTCTCTATTAAAGGCTAACAGAAGCAGGAGATGTTTGAACAGTATCATTCAAACAGTGTCCTTAAAAATTATTTCCAGATTAAAGTGAACACATGCTGCCTTGTTACACATATCTATAGTACTTTCTTTGGGCATTTTTACTGTCTGATTAAACAGTGATTAGAATAAAGATGCACTTATTTTTATTGCTGAAATGTTATTTTTTTTAACCAGTGTTTCTATCATTTCTCCTTTTTGAATAATAGAAAGGGAATCCAGAACAAAATGTTGCCATTTTCAGAATACAAAAAACACTGGGTATTTCTATTTCTAAGGTATGTTTACATCTCTTCTTGTTTCCTTTTATCTCACCCTGTAAAACCTGATTAGTTGTATTGCAGTAGCAGGCTTTGCAGTGCCTCACATTTACCTTGTTTTACTGATCTGTATGCTGTTACTCTAACATCATGTTGTCACGCTAACATTTCTATTTGCCCACCCTGTCTCCCACCCTGCAACCTCTCCATTCGCACTACTCCATAGTTCTACCTCCAGATTTACAGCTTTCTCACTGCTCGTGGTTCTATGCTCTTCACCCTACAGAAAATCTGTTCCATCCAGGACTCCAAGAATGAGCTCAGTGATTATGACCCCCACGTTTATGCCGACGAGGGGTCTCGTCCGCCAACTCCAGATCTGGACTCCCTCTCAATTTCTGAACCCGAGTTTGACCCAGAGCAGCTCTTGGACCTGGGGCCATGTTTCAACAGCCTAGCTGCCATTTCCTGGCCTGAGCTAGTAACACATAATATCAGTGTGGCCACCTATGTGAGCAATGTCAGCAGTGGACAGATTTGAGTAAGGGAGCTGTACCCTGTAATTATCTCATGGGCTTGGGAGCAGCATCTTGACTGAATCTGTTATGAAGATAATTGAGTTTCGTTGCTGTTGTTGGTGGATCTCTTTGTTTTCCCTCTAGTCCCCTATATGCTGCATCAGAAAAAAAGGCTATACTTTATAACCCACAGCGGGCTTAACGTAGAGTGAATAATGTAGAGTGATCACTTATGCTGGTAGATAAATGATAAGTTGTAGAGTTGATGTTAATAAGAAGCGACATTTAGAGGCTGGTCTCCTCACTACTCTGTGCTGTTCAGATCTCTGCTGACAAAGGTTTTGCTAGTTTCAGGAACTCACTATGGTTGAGATGAACTCTTAATGTATTTTCTGCAGTTAATCTACTCTTCAAAGCTAGAAAATAGTGTGGAAAACGTCCAGCTGAGACAAGCATCTATTTTTATTCAGTATGCAAATATCAACAGTCATGTTCCATGGAAGCCCATTGGCTTCCTGCCACCTCACTGGAAACAAGGGAGAAGATGCAGTATTGTGATAAATCCCCCATTCTGCAGTGTGGCTGTAATGGTTTGTGGGATAACAAGGTCAAGTCAAGTGGGCTTTACTGTCATACTACCCATATACAGGTGGCATAGAGAGTGACACAAGATAATGTTCCCCAGGATCACAGTGTGACACATAGATAGATAAACTAACAGAAATGAATTAAGCATGTAGGAAGTACAAAAATGATTCAGAGAATGTTATTAAATAAATTTCAGTTTTCTTCATTTATCAATTGTTGTTTCACCAGAGTGCACTAAAATGTACAACTGCTACAGGTATGTATTTTTTTGCCACAATTTTTAAATCTTACACAAGCAAGTTAAATCAAGTCATGATTTTCCTGCACTGATGATAAAAATTGTTCACCTTACCTGGGAAAGTCTGTTAAGTCTGTAAAACTGTTGAGCCACTGACCTCGGACTTGCTAAAGAAATCCGGTTAGATTTCAGCAGAGATATAATTGAAGTAGGTGTGTCTAACTGCTATCCACATACGCATTCACCCATAGCTCAAAAGTAGTTGTTGTTTGCCTCATATGAGCAGTTTACCGTGTTTTTTCTTTTTTTTGTCTGTTTGTGGATGTTTTCCATTTCTCTTTTTGGCAAAGAAGTGAAATGGCAGGTCCTGACATGTCACTTCAGGTACAGGCTGAGATTGTGACCATTATCTCACTCATTCACCTGGAGTCTGTGCTCCATAAAGGCTTATATGGCCAGGCAGACTGTTTATAACAGGATATGAACATGTTAGTACAAAAGCATGTTTCCTACATCTTAAATCAATTTTTCAAATTAACCTGTAGTATTAATAAATAAAACACACAAACACATACACAATTGGCACCAATTACAACCACTTTAAAAATTGGACTGATGGTCCAATGTGTGTGTGTTTGTGTATCAAGACAACTAATCTGAACAACTATGGAAAAAAAATCCAATATTGATGTAGGATTATGACTTTGAAATCAGAAATAAAATATTTTCTAAGTGACTCAGGTATCTTGCTTTGATAATGTCTAAACTGATAATATATCCCTAAATTGTTTCAGCTTGTCTGTGGACAAGAACGTGTCCCAGGAAGCAGAAAATATCGTAGGGTAATAGGATATTTCACTACTGGCGTTGAGTCCAGGGTGCAACAAATTCAGTTAGGTTATATTTGTAAATTGCAACCCGTCGCTGCTGTAAACACAGGCCTAACCAACATTTACTGCACGCTCAGGAAAGGTTAAAGAGCACAGGAACAACCGAATACTTGGACCTGACCATTTTCCAGTGATAGACGCATATGACAAGTAAACGTAACATAAAGTAAAATAGACTACAAGCTGCCATTCAATCGAATATTAGCCCATATCGAACACAACTGAATAATCTCATTTTCGTTTAGAACGACTATTGCCAGTTTTGTTAATGAATATTCACTTTGTTTCAGTATTGCTCGCTTGATAACAGGACTGAACATTACAACCAGTAGAAATAAAAAGCAAAAAGTCGAGGAAATATTTTTTTCGTCTTCCCTTACTGTTCTGGATTATCTTTTGTTCCGCATATAGCATTCGTACATAAGTTTATACGTGTGTTATATCTCATGTTAATTACTTATGAATTCATGTTGAGAAGGGGGACTTACAGTTGTATTCAAACGGATACAATTATTTGGTGTTTGGTATATTTATGAAATAATGTGAATAAAGTCATGGCATTTTCCTCGCATTTTTTTTCACTGCGATAGTGATGTAAGCGACATTTACCAAGCGCGAAGCGCGCACACTGCTTCATACCTCGATTATAAGGAAGGAGCTCACCAGGTGTGCTGTATATCGCAGAAGGCTAGCCCCAGGGGTTTGTGTCAAACACAAGGCAGAACTGTGTTCTCACTGCACCACGAAAAAGACGAGAAAGTGTTTGGAAACCAAGGTCTAGAAATTGCCTGGCATTCGGATTATGATGACATATTACATTTGGAACCTTTAAGTTTGTTTCACCATGTATCATCTGATAGCAATCCTTGCGATACTGGTAAGTACCTAGGTTAATATATAGATGGATACGGCGTAAAATAAACAACTATTAAATGCAAAACAACGTCATCTATTGCATTTACATGTGAGAAACGGATCAAGCATTATTCCGTACAGTGTTCTATTAACCTAGCTGTGTTCTTTGTGATATTAATTTATATAAAATTGCTCAGCAAAAAGAAAAACGTCCCTTGTTGTAAAAAAATACATTACAAGTATAACAAAATTAATATTAATTGTGTATATAGTATAATTTAATGACAAGTTTGGGTATTAGCAAGTTCTGTGTGGACCTACTTAACTCTCTTTTTACATTCATGCTTTTAGTCAGGGGTGCCCTGCAACTCCAGTCCTGGAGGGCCAGAGCCCCGCACATTTTTGGGTTTCCCCTCATTTAACACACCTGATTCAACTCCTTGTGCTAATTACCACACATCTCTTGAGCTGAATCATTTATGGTGGAACAGGGAAAGAACTAAGCTACACAGGGCTCCGGCCCCCCATGACTGGAGTTGGGCACCCCTGCTTTAAGTGAACAGAAAGTTACTGTGGTTAATTTTGTGTTATATAAGTGCCTACTTAAGAAAAGGTAAATATAAAACTGTAAAAATAAGGAAGTCCTTCTCCATTGTAAGCCACCACAATGGGACCCACTTGCCTTCGCCCGTTATGACAAATGCAACAAAGTGCGATCATACTGGGCACAAGTCTGGCACTTCAGGGCTAAAACGCCACGTGTGTTCAGTTTCAAAGGGTTATGTTACACTGATCACATTCACTGCAAGTGCAAACAATTCATAAGTGACAACTGCACTAAAAAAATGAAAAACAAAAATGTGCCGGTTTGGTTTATGCAGATTGACTACCTATTCTCGAAAACGTTGCACGCGTAATATGCCTATGTGAATGACTACCCTAATATTATGTGAAAATCGTAGGTTATTCGTTGAGGCTATGGGATTGTCTTAATTCTCAACGAAAAAAATAAGCATTTTAAGTACTTTTGCTTTGCTGGCGGGAGCGGGACAAAATTGGACAAGATTCTACGGGAGCGGAATTTACAACTCCGTCCCGCGCAGACCTCTATCAACCAGTACTAGTATATGGTGATAGCAGAAGAACTATTGTAATTAAAAACACTTGCGAGAGTAAAAACATGGCAAAATAATATTAAAAACAGTTGGCAGTTTAGTTTAGTTTTGGAAATTACAAGGATAGGTCACAAGCTTATAGTTTTGTTTATATCCTTTAGCCAAAATATGTAGTGTCTAGTATCCGAGGGGGAAAACTCAAAATTCATACTATCTAAACATTAATTTAGGCCTATATTTTAAATAAATTTTCAAAATATAATGAAACTGAAAATATTAAATTACAGTACAAGGGAAAATATATTTTCAGTTGTTTTACTAAATTGAAAAATAAAATAAGAATATAATTAGATACCAACATTAACATTCAAAAAAAGTAAAACGTTACACGTTTCATGAGTTGTTTAAACGGCTCATGCTTTCCCAATACTGAGTAGGTCTAATGTTGTTTTCATTTGTAATAAAGTTTTATCATGTCACATTGCGGAGGCGGGATTAGTATTAAAACGCTTAAATTTATTACTTACTGTTTTGTCATTGATGCTCCATAAGGCCTGTAGGCCTATCATCACGTGTCCGAAATACGGAATCAGAATTAGTTACTTGTAGACTTATGGTCTTATTCGCTTGTAATCATCTTATATTATTTATTAAGGTATAGTTTTGTTTTTCACAAGAAAGAACCTCAATGAGTTATCTCCATGTAATAGACCTACATTTATTGTGCTGTTTCGATAGTATTTATATGATTGTGTTCTATGTTTTAGAGCGTAGAGTATATACAACCGTGGATATAATTAGGTAACCACACTGTAAAAAATAATCTGTAGAAATTACAGTAAATTACTGGCAAAAAAGTTGCCAATAAGATATTGTAAATTAGTTGTTAGTTACTGTAAAACAGATCTACAATATGATACTGTATACTAAATTACAGTTTATTATTTATCAATTACAGCACTTTTAGTTTTACAATAACACTGTAAACATGTTTACAGCATTGTTTTTTTAATTACAGTAATTACCTGGTAACTAGTAAAATTACAGTAATTAGCTGGCAACTGGAGTTGCCAATAATGTGTTGTAAAAAGTTTTAGAAACATCATGTTTCTGTAAAATATTTATACAGAAAAAAAATTGCAAATTGTATAAATTACAGGACTGCCTGCCAAACAATGTACACCAGTAAACTAAAATTCTAAAAAATTGAATATTACATTAAAATCATAAAAAAATAATACAGTTAGAAATGTCTTAAATTCAAAACATTTATTAAAACCTACATCTAAAAATATTATTTATATTGCAAAACGCTTTGAAGTGTCAGTGTACAAACAAGGGCACATGAACTTTGATAATGAATAACAAAGTTTTAAAACTATTGCAGTATATTGATACTGATATATTGGCAACTGTGACATCGCGTGCCGGACGAACAGGCAGGGAGCGAGGTATCAAGGATCCGGGAAACGGAGAATCGGGAATGAGGGTTTATTGACAGAGACAGCTACCAACAGCGAGAGACTTCAATGACAGGACTGGGGAAACTGACTTGAACGCGGACTAAATACACAAGACTGAAGGCAGGAAACAGGGAACAACTGGCAACAATCAGGGTTTCACACAAGGTAAATGAGGGGGCGTGGCACAAAGGAGGATCGGAGGAGCCGGGCGTGACAGCTACGGCTCACTCTACAGTACTGGCGATAGAGAAATACACAAACAATAATTTAACTATCATTTTATTTCTTGGCCTTATTCAAACATTGATAAACAATTTTTATATAAACTATTAACAAAATATTGTCAAACAGTTTAAGAACATGTTCACACACTGCAGTAGAGCCCTGCATTGGGAGCGGGATCCCGCGGGTCCCGCGGGACCCAAAGCAAATCTCACGGGATTGGGCGGGTTTTAGATTGTCGTGGGCGGGAGCGGGCGGGAGTGACAGAGACAGCGGGCGGGATTGGGCGGGAATCGTCAGAAATTCAGCGGGAGTGGGCGGTAATGGTCAGAAATTCAGCGGGAGTGGGCGGGAGCGGGATTAAAAAAATAGTCCCTCGCAGGGCTCTACACTGCAGGACATTGTGAGAAGAACAAGCTAAATGTCTATAGGTACTACGCTTTACCTTAAGAACACCAGACTTACAGGCACAACCAGTCAAAGTCCATTATCCTTTTCAGCAGAGTACAGACACGAGAGTTGATTGTGTTGCTTTTTTTTCAGAGACATTTCCTCTTTTACACACAATCGTTGTGGGTGCCATTTTATAGCCAGTTGTTGGGTTGATTCCGATAAAACATCTAAAAATCAAATGCACAGACACAAATCAGTATAAAGTATAATGAACGATTTATAAGATTCAAAAACAATCATTATGACTGCTTATACTAAATGTAGTGATACCTGAAAGTTTGTAAACCTCTTAGAATTTCTGCATAAATATGGCATTCTGTATTATACCAATAAAAACATCAGGACATCTGTCTGTGCATCCAGTCACAAAAGAATTTTGCTTATAATGCAAGACAATGATCCTAAACACACAAGTCGTTCTACCAGACAGTGGTTAAAAAAGAATAACATTAAAGTGTTTGGAATATTCAAGTTCTTATCAATAGAAATGTTGTGTTAAGCAGTACCTGTGAACTGTACCTGAATCATTAGTACCTAAATACAAAGGCATTGGCTCAACATAATTGAAGCTGTTTTTAAACAGTGTCTTTTGTCGCTGATCTATACTTAAAATACTATTGGAATGTTTGAGTATATCTTCATTTTTAACCTCCTCAAGTACACTTGTAATTATGGAATCAGGCACCCTAAGAACAGACAGTTTTAATTTTAGTTTTGAAAGGGCATGGATCTGGGAAGGATCATGGATTTCATAGACCTCCTCAATGATGGTCTGGATTACAGACACAGGCAAGAATAGCTTGGCGTGGAGCTTCAAATAAAACAAAGACAAATGTTTCAAATACAGCTGTTCATCAATATGAAAAGATGTCCCTGACTGATTCTCAGTTAAAGAGGTGGAGGGCATGCTTGATTCATCAGAAGGAATGGTGGAACGTTGGTCTACAGCTTAATTGAGACAGGTTTTCGAAAGATGTTTCCTTTATATGTTCAACTGACCTACTTTTGTGCATTCTTGAGATATGAGAGGCAAATGTGGCCTTCACACAAAAAGTTCTCTCACATCCCCTAAAAGGACAATTTACTTCTCTGCCTTCCTGTAATTTACCTTTCAAATGAGTAATGAAGTCCTTCAAATTAGTGGATGTATTCTGACAAAATTCAATCTGGCAAATTAAAATCGTATCAGTCTGTTTAAGTTGAGCACTCCTAACAGATGATTGGTAACTCTTATGATCTCTATATAGATGAGACTTAAAGGCTGCAATTAATTTCTTAAATTAGTGTGCTAAAATATGAACGACACCAAACCGCTAAGAAGCAACCATTGCTAATTCAAATATTAATTCTAGCATCCGTGGCGTGCCTGAAATTAATGCTGGTTCCCTTTTGAATTTTATACAGAAATTTAGGCAGACCCACGCAATGTTTTTAAGGTCGAGCAGAGGATATATACCAAGATTGAAAAAGGTTTTACAAAGCTAACATGAAGTAAATTGTAAATTAGTCTGACCCTGCTTGAATTTCTAACTAACCGGAATGTATTTTTCGTGGTTGCAAAGTCAAAGTACATATCTGAAAATACAAGGGGAAAAGTAAAACTTCTGCTGAATTATAACTAAGAAAGACACACAATGTCTCCTGCTTCATCATATTCTTGTTTACCAATGTCTTAGAAACCGTTCGTTTGTCCCCTGAAGCCGCCAGTGGGTTGTCCACCATATCTGCCTGCATCATGCCTTGGCCTAACGCCAAATCCGTCCGAGTTC